TCCATGTTGTAGTGTGTGTCAGAATTTCCTTCCTTTTTAAGGCTGAATACTATTTAATTGTATGGATGGACCACGTTCTGCTTATCCATCCATCAGTGGACACTTCTGGTTATTGTGAATAGTGCAGCTGTGAACATTTTAATATAGCAGGTCCTCGAAGAATGCCATTTTGTTCAACTTCATTTTGTTATAACGTTGATGTGTTGCCTTAGGAACTTAACTCTTGTTTATATCAAGCAGCCTGTGGTACAATAGGTTTCGTTATATATCATTTCACTTAAAGTCGCAGAACCTGTGAACGATGTTAAGTGAGGACGTACTGTGTGAGTATTTGAGTCCCTGCTTTCAGATCTTTTGGATGAAGCTATCACTGAGACAGGGTACTAAATGGAAGTTGACACCCTGGACAGTGAAGGTCCCACCCCCTTTCCTTACTCAGCTCCCAGGGCAGGAGGCTGCCAGCCCACCCTTACTCTAGGCTGAAACGCAGGGGCTTCATCTCCAGAAACTCTGTGGCCTTCGAGGGGAGAGTGATGGGTCATCATTAGGGTCCTAGTGGAGCCTCGAGTCCCCTCGGCTGGCACGCCCAGCCCCACCCCCAGACTCCTGCTCCAGTGAGATATTAAATACTCATGAATGAATAATCATTATACCTGGGCGTGCCAATAAAACCACACTCATGCACCCCCTACTTGACGGGAGGAGGAAACCGGGGAGCCCTGGGGCCTCTCCCAGCCCAGCCTCCCTCTGTGGCAACAGCTGGAGCTGGTCACCGGCCTGAATTCTCAGGTGCATCACATCTTTGTGCTTCTGAATGGCTTTACACCTCGAGAGGGTACCCCTAAGTCAGGCATTGGACGTCTCTCCGTATCTCCCCACAGTGTGTAAAGGGACTCACGCAGCGTGTCCGCTGCATCCCGTCACAGAGAAGGTGTCACTGACCCGCTGCCACCTCTGCCGACCTGCTCCTGCAGGACCAGATCACAGCTGCTTTCCCATCACTGGTGGGTTTTGCTGGAACATTGTGCCCCACGTGGCAGCTGCACAGGGGCAGAGCTCCAGGTGTGGGCAGCTCCTTTAAGACTCACATGGAGCCAAATGGTCTTTCCAAAGTTGCTGGATACGCCCCACACCAGGCGGCCTTTCAGCGACCCCCTCTGAAATGCATTTGAGGCAATCCTTCGGCCTGAAAAGAGACCAACTCCCCCCAAAATGGAAAACAGAGATCGTGCGGGCCACCAACGCAACTTTTTAAAAATTATAACCAATATTTCTTGATAAAGTATTTCTCATCCACAAAACTACAACAAGAGCAGGAAATTAAAAGCCTGAAAGCAGAAATTAAAATGTCAAGGCAAAATTGAAAGAAAAAAAATGGAGGAATTTTCCCCAAAAGTGGGACAAAACTACAGAAATAGAAGAAAGGAGGTAAAGGATTTAAGGGTCAAGGGTCAGCAGATGCAGCCCCTGGAGCAGGGCAAGGCGGGTGCGACTGTGACTGCCTCTGGAGCCACCAGGGAATCCCTGATGGCAGACCCAGGAAGCTGAGGCAACGCTACTGGGAAGTGGAGAAAGAAAGTGCCTGGTGGTGCAGAAGGACCGCGTCTTGGTGACAGAGCCCCGCAAACCAAATGGGGCCTGAGCAGCAAAGACTTACTCCCACCCAGTCCGGAGCCAGAAACCAGAAATCCAGCAGGGCCACACCCCCTCGCAGGCCCTAGGGGAGCAGCCTACTCTTCTCCTCTTCCAGCTGCTGGTGGCCGCAGGTGTCCCTTGGCTTGTGGCCACATCCCTCCGGTCCCCACGTCAGGTTCCTGAACCTCCTCCTTTCCCATATGCCTGTGTCTCCTCTTCCATCTCCTATAAAGACACGTGTCATTGGATCAGGACCACCAGATAATCCCAGATGATTTCCTCTCAAGATCTTTACCTTGATTACAGCTGCAAAGGCCCTTTTTTCATGTTTGCATTTTCCAGGGGTTATGGTGGATATGTCTTTCTCAGGGCCCTATTCAGCCCACTGCAGAGGCCGTAAGCAGGTGCAGTGGACCTTCCATAGGAGGAAGCCAGGACATAATGTTAAGCCGAATGCAGGAAGGGCAGCTCAGCACGAGGTGTGGGAGCCTGGATGGCACAGAGATCTTGGGCTCTTGGGCCCCAGAAGCTCCCACCATGCCCCCCTAAGCCCCCTGTGTTTGCTTCTCTGCAGCAGCTCCACAGTGGACAAGCCCACGCCGGAGGCGGTCCCCGCGGCCACAAGGGAGAAGATCCGGTCGAGGTTCCACGGCAGCCACGACCTCATCCACCGCCTGTTTGTCTGCATTTCAGGTGCCATGTCAGGGCCTGGCACGGGCGTGGGCTTGCAGACACGCGGGGGCCGTGCTCTGGGGGGCACCCAGTGCCGGGTGTGGACGGCCTGAGGTCAGGTGGTGGTGGTGTCAGCTGATGTTGGGGTGCTGGTGGTGCTTGGCCCTGTCCAGGGGCTTCTCCATGGTGTTATGTCATTGTCACCAACCCTATGATGAGCCCATGTGCCCAGCAGAGAGGAGGGCTTAATTCTCCCACACAGGGAGGCTCTGCTCGTTTCGTGGTTCAGGTTTTATTGTGCGTCCTGACTGATTCTGTTTCCTTTCCTGTCTTGGGATGGTTGACAGTGAGTGGCAGGGCGAGGGAGATGACAACTTTGTCTCCCAGGGAATTCAGAGAGGTGGGTGAGCACAAAAGGTGTCTCTTTAGTGTTTTACTTTAGTTTTGTGTGTTTTAAATAACTAATGCATTCACGTGGTTCAAAAGTATAAAGTGTGAAGTCCACCCCCGGGGGGGAGGGGCTCAGCAGCGCTTATCAGGCAGCTGGGCTCTGCCTCCGGCCTGGTGCCTCCTCTGTGCCCGAGAAGTGGCAGGGGCCAGGGCAGCCTGTGGACTGGTGTCACTGCAGGACCGGGGTCATGACCCCGGGGGATCCTTCTGCATTGCTGAGGGCCCCACGGGCACAGCCTGAGCCAGGCTGGGTGGCACCAGGGGGACCTTAATGACTCTGAGCTTCATTTCGCTCATCTGGCAGAACGGAACACACGGTTGGTTTCGAGGGTTAAGGAACATGGTGCCTAGCGGGTGTTCAGTGCAGCCACTGGCACGAGGAGCCCTCCGGAAGCATGGATGGGCCACAGGGCATCAATAATCTGGCTGTGCTGTGAATGGCAGCCTGGTCAGTCCCCGAAGGAGCTAGCGTTGCTCGCCACTGAGAAAGCGGAGTTGACCTAATTTCAGGAGGGAGGGAACCGCTACAGCTGGAGTGGGGGAAGTGGTTTTCTACCCCGGGGTGGCTGGCGGCTGGAGTGGAGAGTGGGGCACCACCTCCTGGCCGGGTCTACCATCAGCCCCCAGGCCACACGGGACCCCTGTTATGGTCTGGAAGTCAAGTTATTTGGGCAGCAGTGTTTGCCTGGGAGGGGACACGACTAAGTACCCGAGTGGCCATGATGGGGAATGGTGCTGCCATGGGGTGGGCATAGTTCGGGGCTCCGGATCATCCCTCAGGGAGCGGCCAGGACTGCTTTGCGGTGGTGGCTGTGACCCTAAGGAAAAGATGTACGGTGAGAACGACCGCCCACCACGGCGGGGCTGGCTCCGGATGGCCCCCCTTCCTGGCCTTCTCTGACTCCTGAGCTTTGGCATCTGCCAAGGATTGTCCCCCAGGGGTGGGCAGCCTCCTCTTGCTCTGACCCATCTGAGGACATGCTGGTCTCAGACCATGAGCTCTGGCCGGGTTTCACCATCTGACAGCACTGAGTCCCCGAGCTGACCAACCTAACCCACCCTCCCCTGTCCCCCTTCCCCAGGTGTGGCTGACCAGCTGCAAACCAACTATGCCAGTGACCTGAGAAGCATTCTCAAGACCCTCTTCGAGGTCATGGCCACCAAGCCAGAAACGGACGACAAGGAAAAGTTAAAGAAGGGTGCGTGCCAGCTTGAGATGGGCTGTGTGGCTCTTGCACACGCATGTGCCCTCTCACACGCACACATGCTCACACACACACTTGTGTGCTCTCACACACTCGCAGGCTCTCTCACACACTCACACATGCTCTCACACTCACACATGCTCTCACACACACATGCTCTCACTCACACATGCTCTCACACACACACTTGTGTGCTCTCACACACACACATGCTCTCACACTCACACATGCTCACACACACACTTGTGTGCTCTCACACACTCGCAGGCTCTCTCACATACTCACACATGCTCTCACTCACACATGCTCTCACACACACACACATGCTCTCACACACACACTTGTGTGCTCTCACATACACACGCATGTGCTCAGGGCAGGGACAGATAAGGCAGAGAGCTTGCCCCTTGTTCCTTGGAAGGATGTGGCAGGGTCCCATGGTGGGGAGGGGCCCAGACCCCTGCTTGCCCACCCCTCTGCTGGGCTGAGGCCCCTGTTCTGGGCAGGCTGCCCCTCATCGTAGGACTTCACTCAAGGACTTTGGGCATGTGAGGCCGGACGCAGCCCAGAGCCTGCCCCAGCCCAGTAGGGCACGTCCCCACCAGCAGGGGGAGGAGCCATCTGTCCCATGTGCCGACCCAGTTCTGCCTCCCGTGTCCACACCACCAGGCCGCATGGCCCCATCTGCCAGGGGATTCTGGGCACGGCTGCTCAGTGTAGAAAAGGCACGTGACAGGAACTGGCTCTGTAAGCACGCATGGTGGGCCCCTCCTACAGCGTCCAGGCCTGGCTCCTCGCCTGCCTCAGGGTCACAGTCTGGGGCACTTGACCATGCAGACCGTAGAGGGGCCCCAGGACTGGAGACCCCCAGGGAAGAGCAGCCGGCAGGGGCAGTGGGCAAGGGCTGCAGTGTCTCACTCCGAGTGCTGTGGGTGCTGGGTGGGTTTAGGGAGCTAAGCCCCTACTGGCAGCACCCCAGTGCACCCACCAGGTGCATGGACCCCAGCCGTCACCCTTTCTCTTCCAGTCACCCAGACCCTGCGGAGTGCGGCCTTGGAGGACTGCGCCCTGTGCCAGGAGACCCTGTCGTCCTCCGAACTTGCAGCCAAGACCCGAGATGGGGACTTGGAAGGTGGGTGCAGAGCTCTGGGCCTGGGGCTGATGCTGTCTGAGTGCTGAACAGAGAGTGGGAGACCCAGTCTGGACATCTCCTCTCTGTCCCAGACCACAGGCTCCATGAAGACAGTGCGCCTCCAGCTGGGGACCCCTCCCCAGAGGCCGTCTGGGCATCTAGCTTCCCCTGGGGAGACAGCCTCCCCTTCCAGTGTCTCCTCCTCTGCTCCCAGGTGGACACACAGGCCCCCTTAGCCACGACCATGCAACCTCAGGCCAGTGCTTAACATCTCGGTCCGCGGGCCAAGGCGTGACGAGCAAGGAGCTGCGGGGTCCAGGCCTTTGGCTGGGCTGGAGGTGGCTGGTCCTGGGACACAGATGCACAGCGGACCCCCAGCCTTCACGGCACCGCAGGGAAGGCCATCGGAGGCTGCCTGCCAGAGTCGTAGGAGCCCCTGCAGGGAGCTGCAGACTCACTCTGGTCATGTGGGAGCCGGGGCCCCCGGGCCCCCCACTAGCCCTGCAGTTGGCCAGGACCCCCTGACCCTTCACTAGCCCAGTAGTCGGCCAGCTGGGGACCCAGGGGCTTGGTAGGAAGGAGGTTCAGGGTGGGTTGGGGCACTGGTAGCACCTCTGCGGGGAGGGGTCTGGTGGCCTGGGAGAGGGGCCGAGATGAGTGACAGCACATAGGAGAGGGGCCGAGATGAGTGACAGCACATAGGAGAGGGGCCGAGATGAGTGACAGCACATTCAATGGGTGTTGAATGTGACTGGAGCCAAGAAGGAGGCTGAGGCCAACCCTATGACAGGCCAGAGGACACCACTTCCGGCGTGCCTGGCCCACCCGGCTGGCCTCCCTCTGTGCTGACTGGTGACCAGGGTGACATCAAGGCTGCCTTTGCTGCGATTCCCTGGGGTGACAGAGGCTACGGGTGTGGGGGGTCAGGAGCAGCACAGGCTCCCCACCTTCCTGAGCGCCCCGAGTCTCAGCTTCCCTACCTTTCTATGAAAATTAGACGTGATGCTATAAAGCGCCTATCATAGGAACTCAGAGCCCTCGGCTCGCGGGACTGAATGTAATGAACCGTGGGGTCTGGAGTGGCCTGGTGCACGCCCCTGGGCTGCCAACCCAGCCTCCTCTGGGAAGTGGCTCCCCACGGCAGGGCCTGGGCCTGGGCACATCACGGAGGAGTGGGCGCCAGGCCCAGGAAGCCCTCAGGACCCTCACAGTCCTCCCCAAGGGAGAGTCTAGACTCCTGTCTCAGCTGGAGGCCCCAGCCTGACTCGGCCTCCAGGGGCTGACACGCGCTGTCCGGGACTTCACTGGGGCCAGCCAAGGATATTACGGGGCAGGGTGGGGGGCATGCATGAGAAATGGTCCCCCACAGTGTGGGGTGAGCTGACAGGATCCTGGGGAGGATAGCAGGTGAGGAGGAGGTGAGGAGACCTCGGTCTCCAGTGGACAGGTGGCTTTGCGCAGTTCCATTTAGAAGAGCTCAGGGTAAGGCCTGGGCATCGTGGAGGGTGGACAGGACCTGAGTACACTCTGTGGCCCAAGGTAGCTGTCCGAGGTGACCGCTCCCCCTCTGGGTGTCGGTGCTGGCCTCGGACCTGGTATACAGTGGGCCCCTCGGTGCCTGGGGTGTGAGGGGTGTGGCCATCTTGATGTGTAAGGCACTTCTCCCCACACTGACGTGCCCCCCGAATTCCAGAGCAGACCTCGCCAAGGGTTCCCACCTGTGGGAGGAGGCAGCCCCCGGCTGAACTACACAGGTGTCAGGGAGGGGCAGGCAGGCAGCCTTGGCCTCCAACAGAGGAGACAGGGTGTCTACCTGGCCCCCAGCCCCTCCCCCCTGAGAACTTCAGAACTGCAGAGGGTGAAGGACAACACGGGTGGGCAGGGCTGGGACCCCCGACGCCCAACAGAGCATTGATTGAGGGGTTGACAGAGGAGGTCAATTTCTTCATTTCTCAGCCCCCACCTTTGCCCAAGAGCACTGCCAGGTGGGTGCTGACAGGGAGAGGCCTTGGGAGAGGGCCACCCAGGTGGACACTCCTGCCCACGTCCTGAGTCCTGGGGGAGGCACAAGCTGCATCTGGGGTCTGATCAGTGGGCACTGCCCACAGCTGCAAAGACTGACTGCCCATGGGACGCTGCTAGTTTCCCAGAACCATAGCCAGTCACGAGTCCAGGGGAGGACTGGAGACCAGGAGGGCAGGGGCTGTGGGGGCCACCTGGCCAGAGGCTCCTGCACACGCACCGGCCTCCGACCCCCACCCCTGCTCACCTGCCCCTACTGTCACCACTGCGTGGCTCCCTTGCCTGACATGTCCCCCACTCTCATTGTCACAGACCCGCCCGAGTGGGTCCCAGATGAGGCCTGTGGCTTCTGCACCGCGTGCAAAGCGCCCTTCACCGTCATCCGCAGGAAACACCACTGCCGCAGCTGTGGGAAGGTAGGTGGGACGCAGCGGCCTGAGGTTGTCCCCACCTGGGTGCTGCGCCCTGGGGGCCCACCTGCAGACACAGCACAGAGTCTGGAAGTCAGGGAGGCTGGCAGGGCCTTTGGGGTCTGCGCAGAGGCCCCAAGCCCAGGCCTGCTGTGCCTTGGCACAGGGCGGGGACTCCATGTACTTGGTCCACTGAGTCTGGACGGTGCCTGGCCCAGTTCTGGCTGCTTCAGAGCTGGGGACGGGGAGCGGACAGAGGGTCTGAACAGGAGCCTGCCCCAGCCTTGGGGTACCCAGATGTCCTCCTTGAGCCTGGCCTCCTGGGGCCACAGCCTGTCCCAGGATTTCCTGAAGGTTCCAGCCCCACACAGGGGCTGGCAGACCCCCGCCTGTGAAGGCCCTGTCTGGTCTGGGGGGATCTGCGGGGACCACGGCCAGGGAGGCTGAGGCAGGGGGGCTGTGGGGCCACCCCCAGCTCACTGGCCCCGCCACCTGCGCCTCTCCTTCCAGATTTTTTGCTCCCGCTGCTCCTCACACTCTGCCCCGCTGCCCCGCTACGGGCAGGTGAAGCCGGTCCGCGTGTGCACACACTGCTATGTGTTCCACGTCACGCCCTTCTACAGCGACAAGGCAGGAATCTGACAGCAACGGGTACTCACCAGACCCCCAGGGCCCAAAGGGCGCCCAGGAAGGCGCCGAGGAAGGCTCCCCACCCCTCCTTCCAGGCGCGGGCTTCCAGAGGGTTCATGCATTTCATCGAGCTGCTGCCAAGGAGACTTCCAGAACATCCAGTGCCTCCGTCCCAGCCACACTGGTTGCCCGGCCTATGGGGACCCCAGGCCAGCTGCAGGGGCCAACAGGAGGTCAGCTTTGGCCAGCGAGGATACCCAGGGTGCCAGGTGGCTGCCCAGGCACAGGTGGGCTCGCCCCCTGCCTGTCCACCTGCCTGCTGAGCTGCTGCGTCAAGGCTCGGCCACCGCAGAAGGCCTGCTCAGCGCTTGTTCGTGACAGGGAAGTGGGGGCCTGGTCTGAGCCCCAGGCAACCTCAGCACCAGGGATAAATGCGGGGCAGGTGGTAGACACCTACGGGGGAAGGGTCAGGCCTTAGGGCCCCCTGGGGCTTCCCATGTGCTTGCTGGATGAGAAAGACAGGGCGTCCTTCTCTCCCCCGCGCCCTAAGGCCACAGCTCCCACCTCATCCCCAGGCACCACCCCCTCCCCACTCCCCTCAGGACCTCGGCTGAACAACATGCATCTCTTTACACCCATGGTCCTCTCGGCAAGTAGCGTGCCCCTGCGTTGCCCGTCCGCCCCTGTCTACCAGCTCATGGGGAGGGGCAGCATAGAGACCCACAGGCAGAGGTTTCTAGGTCTTTGGGTGGCCAAGGACACCAAGTGTCGCCCACTCCCTTCCCACTTCCCCTTCCCTCTGCACCCCTGGGACCTTGGCTCACCTCCTCAGACCCCTGAGCGGCCCGGGTCCCAGCTCGGACACCTCCTCAGGCTTAAATCTCAGGCTTTACATTGCAATGACAATTGCAGCTTTATTTTTAGAGAGATGACATACCTACCGCTTCTTTTATAGGATAAAACCCAATTACTATTTAACAGTGGAATATACGTGCATAAAAATGGCTTCGGGGGGGGGAGGAGTATATAATGGAGTAAATATTATGTATTGAGATTATCTTTATTTTCTAAATGCTGTAATTTGAAACCATTTCCATAAATCTATTTATGGACTGCAGACACTCATTTCCTGTGTGAACACGGACGCCTTTTTCTCCTTCTGGGAAGTGTGGTATTCTTGCTAAGATGCACTGTCCCTCAGGAAGTGGGGGGCTTATGGACGCTCAGGACAATAGAAGGGCAGGACTTGGCTTCCCACCAGCCCCCATGAGAGGGGGCCTCTCCCCCACCCCTTCCTGAAAGGGCTCCATTGCTTGCCCACTCGGGACATGTGGCCACGCTACCCTTCTACAAGGTTGTCCCTGTCCCAAGGGCAGAGCCAGGACCTGGGGGTGCAGAGGGGTTAGTCAAAGGCCGAGTTTCCAACTCAGGAAGGATCTAGAAGGAATGGCCTGCTGCCCATCCACAGCAGGGGCTCGGGCCTGGGAGACCCTGGGGGTGGGGGTAGTGAGAGTACCAAGGGCTCCTGACTTGGAATCAGCCCTCGCACGCCAGCCTTGGGCCTGGAGCAGGTCAGCCTCCTTGATCCTCAGTTTCCCCATAGTCACCATCACTGTCTTCCTGTTACTGTCTTCTGAGCTCTGTCCCCACTGCTCCCCACGACAATCCCTCTAGGGAGCAGGATCCCCGTGTCACAGAATTGAAAACCAAGGCTCATGGATGTGACTAGGTGTCACAAATAGGTTGTGGGGTTTTAGGAGTGTCACACGAGAGGCAGAGCCCGAGAGCCCTGCGCCTTGAGGAGTGCTGGGAAGCACTGGCTCTGCTGGCTGTACCTGAGGCCACTTCGGGGGACAGGAACACCACCAGCATCGGGCACTCCCATCTGGCAGCTGGAGGAAGGCTGGGGGACTGCCAGGAGCCAGGCACACCCAGGTCTAAATCGCCACCTCACCCTTCTCTCTAGGCTACATACAGGCCTGGGAGAATGCTGTCACGCTCTCCAACACCCGCTAAGCTTCTGGTAACAGGCAGGGTCCTAGGCCTGGCCAGGTCCCCACAAGTACTCAGGACCCGGAGGCAGCCAGCAGCCCCCACCCCAGGGCAGCTCACCCAAGGATGGAGGGGCTCAGGAGACCTGGGAGCAGACAGCCACCATACCCAGCCTCAGGGAGGTTGCCTGATGTGGGGAGAAGGGGGAAGCCCAGCTGCTCCTGCACCCCCACTGCAGGCTCAGCTCAGTCCAGAGGCCCCCCCACACCCCCACACACCTGGTCTCTGGAGGTGCCCCTGCTGCCTGCCCCCATTTGTGGATGGAGCACCTAGGTGCTCTCAGCCCGCCTGCCTCCCCTGAGTAGGCAGCTGTTTGATCCTGGGGCAGGGAGCACGTGAAAGGAGAGAGACTGTTAGTGTCATGGGTGCTGGTGAAGGTGATGGACAATATCACCCCCAGGAGGCCAAGTGGGAGGGGCAGAGTTAGGGGGCCCTCCTCTTCGCTTCCTGTGGCCCAAGGCTGGGCTCCCTCCAGGATCCCTGCCACAGCCCCTAATGGCCACCAGGGGGCGCCCATTCCACCTCCTCTGCCAGTGTGGTCTGCTGCCAGGGTGTTGGGGGCAACTGGAGTGCTGCCTGCAGGGGTCACCCCATTGTGGACAGGTACTCCAGGGCCCCCAATGCAGCTGCACCTTCTGTCCAGGTCCTGCAACGGGGTGGAGGGCCCAGAGAGGGTCCTGGCCCAGCAAGGACCACAGGCAAGACAGACCACTCCCCAAGATCGGGCAAGAGGGGTCCTGGTCAGAGCTGGACACCTCGGACCACCGGGGCTGGGGTGGTGGCTGACAGCACCAAGAGGGGGCGGCTTCCCAGCCATTCCTGGGTCCTCCTGTACTCTGGACTCTGCACTGGGAGCTAGGAGAGGCAGGCAGGAACCAAAGCGCCCACACCATGCCACCCCCACGATCCCTTCCCGGAGGTGCTTGTTTCCTGCCTGGCCTACCCAGAGCTACCTCCTCCAGGCAGCCTTCCCATTCAGCGGAGGCCTCCAGCCCAGCCTCATACATGTTCTCAGATCAGAGCCCGGGGGGCTTTGCAGAGCTCGGCGAACCTGTCAGCCTCTCCTGCCTCTGAGATGGGAGGAATGATTCCAGGCCAGCATGGAGCAGTCGCTCTGACATCATGTCCCGCCAAAGACTGAAACACCAGCAGGGCTTTGGTTCTGCTGCTGTGCAGGGCAGCCCAGGCTGGAGCCCACACCCGAGCTGGGCACATGGCAATCCAGACACCGCAGACCTGCCTGCCCTTGGGGGTCTGCAGGTGTGGGGCCATTGGAGCTGGATGAGCTGGCTGGGCCCTGGAGGGGAGGGGGGGAGCAGCATGGCTGTGGAAAATGGGGTGCCAGAACTAGAGGCATGGGATAGCCCTGAGAGTTTGAGAAATGGCGATGCTCCCAGCGGGGTGGGGAGAACACGGATGAGAATAAGGCTGGGTCGCCCCAGGCACCGAATGCCAGGCTTCTGCCAGAGGGCACAGCGGAGACATGGGGGAGCTCTGAGCAGGGAAGGGCACATGCAGGTTTGTGGTCTGAACTCCTTGAAGGGAGGGTGGGTTGGTGGGGCAGAGGCCAGGGTCCCCACTGCTGGGACCTCAGCTCCATCAGAGGCAGTACCACAGCTTAGCCACAGTCACAGCTGTGACCTTACTGCCCCCCACCCCCGTCACTCAGGACCCTGTGATCTGAAAGGCCTCTGCACCCTCTGAAGGAGGCAGCTCAGGTCACACTCGCCAGGCCCAACCTGCTGGCCTCTGGGTGTGGAAGCGGCTGGATGACTGGGACCCAGGGATGGGGAGTTGGGGGTGGGTTTCCGGGGCTCAGGCCCTCAGGGCATTCTGCCTGAGACTAGGAGGCCTCGACATTGGCACTGTGTTAGGCTATGCAGACATTTAATCACATCTTGAGTTTGTATACTGTCTTCTTATTGTATTCTGGAGACATTTTTTTCCTGAGTGTTAAACTTCTTGAAGACCCTGAATGCTTAGAGGCCTGGCCTGCTGCCCATGGCTGGCCAGCTTAAGCAGCCACCCATCCCAGGTTTGACCATGACTCTGATACTGACCGGTGGTGACTGGGCAGGCCCTGAATTAGAAGCACTGACTGATTTGGGGCTGATGTTAATATTCCTGCCACCTCCTTTTGTGCTGAGCCTACAACTGCCCATGCATTCCTCAGTGTACCCCACAACCTCCCCAAGAGGCAAGTACTGTCAATTCCATTTTATAGCTGGGGAAACTGAGGCTCAGAGACATTAAGTGACTTGGCCAAGGTGTGGCCAGACTAGAATCCAGAGTGGCTTTGGGGAAGGGACCCATGACAGGAGCTCTCCAGGAGTCTCCCCTGGTCCTGGAACACCCCCCACATCTCAGCACAGCGGAGCCAAGCCAAGGCCAGGCTCTCTGTCCCCAGGCCCCACAGACCTGCCTGCAGGGAGCTGTCCAAACCTGCCATCCCAGGGGTCTGAGGAGAGGCAGGCTGCCGGATTCCAGCCCCGACTCAGGGCTGGGCCCCCTCTTGGACTCTAAATGGAGATAAGGGCGGGGGTGGGGAGGGGCAGGGGTCTGGGTTCCCAGGGGAAGGAGGCCTGAGGCGGCTGCCCCCTTTCTCTGGGCATGGACTTTGCTGGTTCCTACTGGGACAGGTCTCTGCCTTGGATATGGGGCAGGAAGGGCTGGGCAGGCCTAGGAAAGCGAGGTCGGTGAGGAGGCAGCTGGCCTGGGCTGGGCTCAGGGAAGGTTCCCTGGAGGAGGTGCTGGGCACCTGCTGGAGACCTGCCCTACAAAACTGGGCCTAGCGGCGGCACTGCAACTGACTCCTGGGGCCCGGGCAAGCCAGCGCCCACCTCCAGGGGGCACCTGTGCCCCCCTACCGTGAGGCACACATGGGGTGGGGGACTCTGGCCCGCCTGCCTGCACATAGTGGCTGGGTGAGGACAGGGTTGACTCAAACCTGCCTCTCCTTCCTCCTGGGCTGCCCCTCAGCCTGGGACCCAGACGCCTCTGCCTGCACCAGGCCCCGGCCCTCCTTCCCAGGCCCTGGTTCACGCAGTGCTCCCATCCCCCTTTCACCCCTACTCCCTGGGGTGTAGTGGCGCCCACACTCAGAGGCGGTGGGGCACCTGGTGTGGTTGGGGAAGGGATCCCCAGTATGGCCTAGACGTAGATGGAGGCAAGGTGGGGGCCACCCCCTTTGCCCTCAGGCTGGGAGGCAGCAGGCACGCGGCTCCCACAGTCACCCCTGGTCACCTGAGCTGCCTGCTGTGGCACAGGGCACACCTCACGCCCTACCACTGGGAGGACGGTAGGTGCACTCACGCAGGGCGAAGTGCTGCTTTAGACTGGGGCCAGCAGCCCACCTTCACATCACCAGGGATAGAGTGCTGGGCAGGTGCTGAGCCCGGGCCTGCCTCCTATACCCCAAAGCCCAGAATGCACCTGCCCCTCCCCAGAGTCGGGTGCCCTCTACCTTGCACCCTTAGCAGCCCTCCAGACTAACCTGGAGAGCCTCCGCCCTGGCCCTGGCCCGGGCCCCGTTCGGCTGAAGCAGGGAGCATGGCCTTAACATCAAGGGGTTGTTTTAATGTCCATGCAGGGCTGTCCGAAGGCAGTATCCAAGCTCCCCATGGTCCAGCCACTCTGTGGCGCACACGTTCCTAATCCCATATTTCAGATCACGCAGCTGTGGGGCCCACCCCAGCAAGTCATGCTGGGCCAGGAGGTGGCCTGGTCTCTGTACTCCTGTGTCACCAGCCCTGCGTCACACGTATGGGTGTACTAATGTCCATTCCACTGGGACTTCCGGTAGACACTGGCAAACCCCTAAACCTCAGGATTCCATTTTCTTATCTGCAAATCGGGGATGCAGAAACACACAAGGAAATGCATACAAAGCGTTTAATAGGTCCTAGAACCGAAAGTGCTGAGGGGTTTTTTTTATATATAGCTTTTGTTATGTTTTGTTGGCAGCAGCAGTATCCCCTCCCCAATTTAGAACTTCCGTGGGGGATCCAGCCACCTTATCCCCCCATCTCCAGCCTGCTAGTCCCATCCTCAAGAGCTGCCCTGCCACCAATCTTAAAAACCAGTGACAGGGAAGATCAAGGGTGTCTGAGGCCAGTCTGGGGTTGCCCCAGGTTGCAAGTCCCTGCTCCTTGGGGCCAGCTTAGGGTCAGGAGTTGCCAGGGCCGGCTGGGAGCTTGGGGAGGTGCTCTCTCCCTTACCACAGAGGGCGACTGTCTTCTCCAGAGTGGGCTCCCTTGGCCAGAGGGGCGCAGCGCCTGCCTCAGAAAGTCCTCACCATTCAGATCAGACAGGAGCACGCAGCCTTCCACTCATGGGAGCCTGTCCAGGGTGTGGCGGCAAATCTTTGCCCGCTTCTCTAAGCCTGGAGCCACTCCTTCAGCTCTGGGGTCCACGAGACAGCTCTGAGACCCCACCCCGGGCCTCAGTTTCCCAGTTGAGATCCTCAAGGAGGTCTGGCTTTTAGGGTCAGGCTGTCTACGTCCCTCTTCCAAGCCCCGGCCTCTCCTGGGATCACTCTGTGGCCGGCGGGAAGGGGTGTCATTTTGCAGCCCCACGCGAGACCACCGAGGTCACCGCCAGGCCCCGTGCTCCCGCGGAGCCAGTGCTGCAGATGGCTCAGGGGCAGGAGGTTCCCGCTCACTGTGTGCAGACCCGGGAGCGGAGGGGGGGTTCCAGACGCTCCCCGCGCCCTAACCTGCCCTCGCGCAGAGCAGGACGTCGGGCTGTCCCACCGCGCTCTGCTTCCTCTCGGCAACGCGTCCGGCCGCGGCGTCCTCATTGGCCGCTCGCCTCGCAGCCAGCCATTGGTCCGCGGTCCCTATTTTACATAGACCGCTCTGGACCAATCGGCGCGCGGCGCCTACTTAACATGCACGCCGGCCGCCAGTCAGCTAGCGCGGGGGCCGGGCCACCACGTGCTGTTGCTAAGCTTGGGCTTCTAAATTGTTACTACCGCGGTGGGCCTATCCGAACCGACCCTCGCATCTGTCAACATTCTCGGCCCGGCCCGAGGCGTTCGGCTGGTTCTCATTGGCCCGACTGGTGCCAACGTCCGCCCCCGGAGCCCAAGTGCTGGACCCCATTGGCTGTGCCGGCCGCCGCTCGCCCTTAAGTGTCAATTTGAGGACCCGAGGCGGAGGGTGGCGGCCGAGCGCACAGCGAGTCTGCGGGAGTCGGGGCAGTGGGGCCGCCGGGCGCGCGGGGCAGGCGGCGAGCGGAGCCGGCCGAAGTGGGCCGGGCAGCGGCCGCCGCCGTCCCGGAGCGCGAGGGCGGGCCGGAGGATGGAGCTGAACTCCTTGCTGATCCTGCTGGAGGCGGCTGAGTACCTGGAGCGCAGGGACCGAGGTAGCGCCCGCGCCCCTTTGTGCGCCGGGCCGCGGGCGGCGGGCGGGCAGCGGCGGGGCAGGAACCGGGACGGGACCCGCTGACCGCACCGTCTGTCCGCAGAGGCCGAGCACGGCTACGCCTCGGTGCTGCCCTTCGACGGCGACTTTGCCAGGAAGAAAACAAAGGCGGCCGGCCTGGTGCGCAAGGCCCCGAACAACAGGTACCGCCCCCCGCGCGGCTGCCCCCGTCCGGCCCTGGCCTTCCTTCCCCCCGAGTGCCCTTCCTTGACCCAGATCCCGGACCCTCAGGCCGGCCTCCGTCGTGCGCCCCGGCGGCCAGCCTGGAGGAGGAGGCGCGCCGGGGCCGCGGCCGCAGCCCCGCCCGGCCGGCCCCGCCCGCGCCGTCGCCATCTTCCTGCGGGCCGCGCCTCCTCGGCCTCTCGCGTAAACAGTGCCACGCGTACAGCCCCGCCGCCCGGGGTCTCCTCCCGCAGCCGCTCCCCGCCCCCAAGTTGTTCTGGACTTTTCTGGGCAGGAAAAAAGTTGTCAGTGGGTGTCGGCTGGTGCCCCTTGGGTCCCGGGAAACTGCTTGGTGCAGAGCAGCGTTGGGTTGCTTGCTCCGATCTCAGCTCGTGCAGGTGGGTGGTGGGCCGCAGGTGGTTGGGTGGGCCGCATCTCTCCGACTGTGTCCTAGGGGCAAGCCCTGCTGCTAAGCTGATGCCCCCCCACCCCTCACCCCCTGTGGCCTGGACAAAGAAGGCGCACAGAGGCCCTGCCCTGGGCCTCTGCTCCTCCACGTACTCGCACTTCTGCCCACCTCCTGACACAAGTGAAACTGGTGACAAGTGTAGGGGTTCCCTTCTTTGGGACAGGGGACCCTTTTTTAGGGGACGGAGAGAGGGTGCAGGGTGCTGTGCAGCAATTTCTCTCAGTGCCAGCACCCCTCCTCTTCTGGCCTCTGCCTGGGCTGCAGAAGCCCTGAAGCAGGGGTGCGCAACCCTGGGTAGGGAGTGGGGACCCTCAGCTAGGACTTCGTGGGGTTCTACTCTCCTGGCTGCCAGGAGGACCAGAGGACACCTGACATTGCCCAGGGCCCACTTTGGCCTGGACCATGTCACCAGGCTGGGAGCTGCACTTTGAGAGGCTTCAGGGGGCTTCAGGGCCCCTTGGCAGAGGGTGTGGTTCATTCCTATGGCCTGCCTGTTCTTGGGAAACAGAAAGGCTGGCACAAGGACCCATCTCCTGTGACGTCCTGGCGCCCTGGGCCTGGCAAGGAATTGGTTGTCTCCATCTGCCCTGGCTTGGACATGCCTCTGAGTCCCAGCCCCTGGTCCCCTGCTGGGGACAGTTTGGGAAAGGACATGCGTTGAGGGCGGGGGGAAGGGGGCACGGCTGCCTCCGGCCTCTTCTATGAGCTAGCCGGGCCCCTGCTGTCGGCTCTGTGTCTCAAGTGCCATGCCACCCAGAGGAAACTCCGGGACGTGATCTTGGACTCCCATGGCATGGCGTACCCAAAGCAGATAACCAGATTCACAGCCAAGGCTGTGTGAGTGCTTCCTACATACTGTTTCACACACATGTTATTAGTCACCTAACCTCATGAAGGAGATGTGATTTTTATCTCCATTTTGGGACTGAGGAAACTGAGGCAGAGAGAGATTGAACTACTTGCCCAGGCTACCCTCCCACCTCGGACTCCTGTTCCGAGTGGGATCCTGGCCTTCTACATTCTGCCAGGAAGAAGACCTTGAGGGCACTGGGGAGAACTGAGAGGGTCTCCCAGATCGGGGTGCACCTCATTGTTGCTCCTGTGGGCAGAGCCCGACACCCCCAGTGCCTGAGCCACCCCAGGCTCACAGAGATGCCCCTTGAGGCTGGCCCAGCTGGGCCTCAGCCAGTCCAGACCAGGAGCAAGGGCAGAGCAGGGCCCAGAGGACCCGGGGCTCTGACTTGGCGGGACAGTCCCCTACCTGCAAGGTTTCTGTGTCCTGCCAAGGTGAGGGGAACACTGGGGTGAGGGGAGGGTAGTGGGGCAGGAGGACATCATGTATGGGCTGAGACAGCAGCCCCAGTGGCTGCTGAGGGCCCCAGCAAGGGCTTTCAGAGGCAGTTGTTCAGCAGGGGGGCCTGGAGCCAGCCTGCTGGGGTGGTGGGAGGGGTGAGGGGGGTGGGCAGGTCTTACAGGAAAGTGGGCAGAATAGCTGCCTCAAGGGGTTGAAGTGAGGGGCAAACCAGGTGATGGCTAGGAATGCGCCTAGCGTATCTCTGGCCAGGGCGCTTCACCTTTCCCCAGCCTCCATGAGAAGCATGGCCCATGACCGGCACTCCTGGTACCCATGTGACGACTGCCTGCAAGGCTCCCATGGGCGTGTCCGGACCAGGAGGGGCTCAAGGCCCCTCTCCATTCCTTGGATCCTGAGAAGCATCCTTCTCCCCTCAGGGTGGGGTCCAGCCCAGCCTGTGAGGGGGTGGGTGGGCTTCTCTACATGGAAGGACACTTGTTGACTCCCGCATCCCTCACAAGTGGGCAGACCTACAGACCCACACCACCAGGCCGCAGTTCAGGCCAGCAAGGAGCCTGGTGGCTGTGCCCCCCTAGCCCCGGCTGGCCCTGGCAGAGGTTCTGAGGCTCCTTGCCCAGCCCACGTGACCAGCAGGCCCTTGAGGCCCCTGGTGCCTGGGTCTGGATGCCGTCCTGAGGCTGCACCGGGAGGCCCAGGAGTCAGCTGCCCCAGTGGGAGGAGGGAGGCCTTGAGCCCAGTTGGCTGTGGTGGGCCACAAACCATGGCAGGTGGCAGAGGCAGGCAGAATGGGAAGGCACCGTGGCCCCAGGGGTGGGGATGAGAGATGCCTACTCCTGAGTTCCTGGAGCAGGAGAGAGTGAGGGCAGGCAGGCAGAGATCAGCGGAAGCTCCAGGAAGGGGTGAGGGTTGGGGGACACAGGGCTTGGTGGCCTGGTTCTCTGCTCCTGTATGAGGCAGCCCGGGAGGCCTAGGAGCCCCTCTGGCCTGGACTGGAGGGGGTGACCTCGAAATGGGAGCTTGATCCCACTGCCTCACTGTCCCGCAGGGCAATGGCGGGGGCACACTGCCCAGGAGGGGCTCAGGACTCTGCCCCTGTCTGAATGGGCCAGATGGGCAGGGCTTGAGCCGCAGATGGACCGCTGCCCCCAGAGAGGCCAAGCTCGGGCCGGGAGGCAGAAGGGCCAGTTTCGTCTCCCTGCTACCCACTGGCCCAAGAGGCTCCCTCGTGGGCTGGTCCCTCGCAGGCTGGGTCTGTTCTGTCCCTGGGTGTCCACTGGTTTGATGGGCTGTGATTGTGCAGGTGTGTGAGCCTGAAGGGCGACGGATGATGCCCTCGCGCGATGTCGGGACAGGACCACCCCTGAAGTCCTGGTCTCTGTGCTCACCTGCTGTTGGTCCTCTGTGCCAGCCCATGTGGCTCCACGGACATCACTGGCCTCGGGGAGTGGGGAACAAAAGACAGGCAGCCTTGGGAGCACAGGGTAGGTCAGCCCTAGGACTGGCCACTGTGGCTGTGGGCCTCGCCCACCCCTCTGGAAGGGGACCTGGACCCTCCTGCCAACCAGAACCCCCATATGCCTCACTAGGTGAGCTGGGTGGCTCTGGGCACTGTTGGACCTGGCTGGACCTCTGTGTCTCTTGTCCTTGTCACTTGGTGCAAGGTCTCCCCAGCCTCTTTATTCGGCAGCTGCCCGCGTTCCCCAGCCCTCCCTGTCCAGGGCCATCCTGCAGCCCAGGTCCTCCCGCCCCAGTCTCCAGGTGCCAGGCCCTCAGTGGAGCGTTGTTCTTGCGTGCCGGTGGTCAGGCAGTGGAGTGAGCTCTGTTTTTTTGTCTCTCTAAACAGGTCTTCACACAATGAACTAGAAAAGCACAGGTAAGTGACCCCCGTCCCCCACCTCCAGTCCCCCATGTGAGCTGCCTGACATGTCCCCCCACTGTTCTGAGGGGATACTGCAGCCACCCCCCCACCCCACCCCGGCCCCATGTGTCCTGGGTAGGTTGACCATGCTGCCAGGCTGTGCCCTGGTCTTGGAAAGGGTCAGTCTTGAAGGAGGAGCCAGGCTCTGCTCTCAGGAACTCGCATACGGGGAGGCAGAGGCGGGGCCCAGGCCTGAGGGCGTGGCCTGGGGTCCAGAGCCAGGTGTGGGTGTGGAATTGGGATAGAGCCAGCTCCCTGGAGGAGGAGATCCAACTACTTTGGGGTATCTGAGCCCCTTTGGGAGCAAGTCTTTAGCCCTCGGGATGCTGGCCTCCCACCAGGAGGGTTCAGTCCTCTTGGTTTGGGCCCCTTGCGCTCTGGGACCCACCTTCCAAGGAGCTCCTGCTAGAGTCTTGTCCGAGGGGCAGTGCAGTGGGCAGCCAGTCCCAGGCCATACAGGCCTGGTGGGAAGCTCTGACCCAGGGCAGGATCCAGGGACACCCACTTCATGCCCACCCACCGGCTACAGGGCCAAGTCCACTCTGGGTCCTCCTGGGGAAGGGGGTACTCAGTGAGAAGAGGGAAGGGCAGCGTGGCCACCGAGGAGTCTTCTTGCTTCAGTCATTCTGGGCCCGACATCTTCTGCTGCTGGGCATCCCCCCCTGGCTGGCCCCAGCCTGGCTGCAGGCCTCACTGTGCCCACGGGGTCTCTGTGACCTGGGACCTGCTCGACAGTGGGGACGAGGCACTGGCAAGCTCAGCCCCTGTGGACAGGTGCCCTCAGGACAGATCTCATAGGGACAGTGGGAGCTATGGGTGGGCATGGAGGCCCCACAGGCAGGAGCCCTGGTGTCAGGACCAGGGATGACCCCTGAGGGGCACTGGGCAGAAGCTTTCTCCTCTTCACTCCCATCTGTGAAATGGGCCAGATCTTTCCCCTTTCTTGGGTCGGAGTGTGTGTCGGGGGCGGGGGGGTCTGTGTACTAGCTGGACCTTCCCGGCCTGCTCTGTAGCTTGGCCAGGCCTCTGTGCCCCCCTCCCACACACACACGTCGACGCCCACAGCAGCGCCAACTTCCGCTCCCCTGGGATCAGGCCTCTGCTGGGCGGGCACTGGGCTGGGACAGAACGCCGTGTTCTCTAGAGGAGCTGCACTTCCTGGATTGGCCCCTTGTGTCTGAGGGGCTCCCGAGGCCATGGAGGTGGGGCAGGTGCAGGAGCCCAGGCAGCCAGGCAGGCCCGGGGGTTGCTGCCAGGCCGGAGGAGACAACCAGCCTTGCCCGGGACCCAGGAGCTTGGGCAGACACGTTGGGTACTCTGGGGAAGGCTTCCTGGGAGAACAGCCCCTCAATACGGACAGACAGTGGGGTTGACATTACGGGAGGCTGGATGGCAAGGGCTTGGCAGCCCTTCGGAGAAGGACAGGGGCTGGACTTCGACCCCTGCAACGGCCCCTTGACCCTGGCCTTGGCCTCAGCCACCTTTAGGCTGGACCTCGTGAGGACCTTTTGAGACACAGAGGTAGGATGGGTGGGCACGCCCCCCGGCCCAGTGCAGGGCTGTCTGTTCTTGTCAGTTAGAGTAGGCAGGTGTGGACAGTCCCGAGGAGCCCACAGGCCTGGAGTTTGGGACCCTGGACATGGCTGTACCTTTGGCTGCCAGTGCTAATGCCAGATGCTCCTGGCTGCTGGCCACAGGAAGGGCTGTGTGCTGTCCCAAGGAAGGAAGGAAGCACCTGGCTGGGCCACCCGGCCAGCCCCCGGGGAGGCAGGCCCACGTGGGGCCTGTGGGGACCTGCTCTGGGCTGGCCTGGTCAGCTCCAGGCCACCCCAGCCTGGCCCTGTTCCCCCTCCCCGCCTAGACAGCAGCTCCAATGGGTCTTATAAGAACAATACTTGGCTGCTGACCCCAGTGGCCCGGGGGTCATGGAGGTCACATGTTCCCTGACAGGACGAACCCACCCCCTCCAGCTCCGCATGTGTGGGGGAAGGGGCCCTCAGCGCCCCCTGGAGTGGCAGGGCCCATCCCAAAGGCCAGCCCAAGGCCTCAGTCAGGCCCCCACCACCTCTCCCCAGCGTGGAGATGGTTGTTCGGGCCTCCCGATGAGGCCTCATGTGGCCTTTATAAACCTCACAGCTAGAAAATGCAGGTGAGCAGGAGGGGAGAAAGGGGCTACGCTTGCTCCCTGTCCCACCCCAGAACGTTTCCTTGCCGCCAGCACGTCAGCCAGGCCGGGCGTGTTTAGAGCGTGGCCCTGCTAGATGGCTGGAACCCTGTCCCTCAGGCACTGGGGGACCTGCCGGAGCTCTGGGCCCTCCAGGCAGCGGGGGGGGGGGGGGGGGGGGGGGGGGCTGTGGCCAGCCACTAGAGACGGAGCTGCTCTGAACATGAACGCTGTGATTCCCAGAGGCAGGCTCTGCCTCCTGAATCCACACAGGGATCCTTCAGGAAGTGGTGGGTTTTTAAAGCACCCAGGAATGCTGGGGACAACCACAGGGCTGTGGCGGAGGGCCTGGGGCCCTGCAGCCGCCACCTCCGAGCAGGGCTTAGTGGGAGCCCAGTGCAGCCCCGCTCTGCGGGGTCTCAGTACCCCTTCAGCCCAGAGAGGTCCCGGGGATGCCCACTCCCCACAGGACAGGTCACTGGGGCTCAGAAGGGTGGGGACCTGCCCAGGGCCCCGTAGCCAACTCTTCTGGGGCTGGGTGGGCAAGTTTCCAGTATTAAACAAGACACAGGTAGGGTCCAGCGGCCTCTTTTTGTCTCTCAAGAAGTGCCTGCTTTATGATTTCCAAAGCAGACCATTCACATACGTCACGGACACTCGTGGACTTCCCTTATGCCCCCCTCCCCCACCACCAGCCATCCTAGGTAGGCGGGAGGCTGCACCTGCATCCTCCACACAGGTGCTAACTTGGATAAGAATAAGACCTTGTTATCTGCCATTCCCTAACTTGACCTTTCCCCTGACACCACCTGAGCTCTGTCCACCTGTGTCCCTGGGCGCACCTCTGCCACCTCGTGCTGGTGCCGGCACAGGACCCGCGCCTGCACTGCAGGTTCTTAGCCTGGCCCTCTGGTTAGTGCAGAGCGTGCTGCATTGAACGCTGGGGACGTGAACCTTTGCATATCGGGGGGTAGCTTTATGGGACCAAAATCGAGAAGTAGAAACACGGGTCCAGGGTTTGAGTCTCTGCGATGGCCCTTCAGAACTGCCGTCCACCCACGATGCGTGAAGGGGCCCTGGCACTGGCCTGCCCGAGAGAGAGCCAGTCACTGCTTTTCATTTCCGCCCAAACTCATGTCTCCTCAGTGAGTTCTCATTTCCTAGAAACTGAGATGCAGTCAGCCCTGGGTTAGGTTTGCCATCTGTGTTCTGCAACTTGCCTGTTTGTGTCCTTTGCCCGTTTTCACATCAAGAAACTCCTCTTTTTATTTTTGATGTGTATGAGCTCAAAATGTCATGAACACTAACCGTTTGTCTTTTATGTGTATTGCAAATATTTTTCCACTGTTACTTGTCTTTAGCTGTGTTTTTTCTTTCTTGTACAAATGTGTCTTTTTCTGATTGTAAAAGTAATATGTGGTTTTTTTTAGCATAAAAACCTGGAAAATACAAAAAACAAAAACAAAAACACAAAGTCAAAGAAATAAACGTTGCCAAGCACCTTACCTGGAGACGCATGCTTCCTGCTCTTCATTGTGTCCTGTTGAGTCTCTCGTGTGCGTCTGCTGCTTTATTTTTTTAAACAATATTGGGTCACTTGTCACATAGGTGGTTCTGTATGCCGGTTTTTTTCACTTAACATTCATGATTCGAAAATGTAGAATTACTAGAATGATGATATTGTTGGTTGTCTCTGGGTGGTGGGATTTGGGGTACTTTCTCTTTTTTTTTTTCTGCTGATTTCTCACAGAGATCACATACTGAGTGTGTAGTTAAACGTAGATTGTAAGAATTGTCATTTGCTATAGAACGAGTGGACAAGGGACCTCACTATGACTGGGTGGTGGGCGGTGGCGCCGGTGGTGGAAGCGGGTGGGTCCCTGATTATCAAGCCCCTCCTTGAGCACAGAGCTCTGCTCCATGGCCCCATCCTCAATGGGGTGCCGGGGTGAGGAGGCTGAGGTTCCCGGACTCTGGGGGGTCAGGGGGTCATGTAGCAGTGGCCTGGGACCTGGAGGCATGACTTCTGGATTCTGCAGCGCGCCCCCTTCCCCAGCCCTATGTCTGTGCAGGGGTGAGAGCTCGCCTCTGAAGACCCTTCAGCCTTGAGGCAGAGCCCAGGGCCCTCTACACGCAGGTCCCCAGGGCCCAGGCAGTTCAGGCCCCAGCTCCTCATGGCCAAGCACAGCCTCTGCCTATGTCCTAACTTGGTTCACCCAGGGAACTTCCAGGACCCGGGGTGCTGGGTGGGGAGATGCTTGGTCAGCAGGAGGGTGCGGTGTGATGTGAGTGACAGACTGAGCCCACACACAGGGTGGCAGCACAGTCAGCCCTTGTGCAGGGCAAGGCTGCAGACGGACTGCTCCCAGGCCCTGGGCGCCCTCTTCCAGAGGAGGTGGCCATCCCTACCCGCTTTCCTTCCAAGGTCTCTAAGGCTGAGAGAGACTGTGGGTTTGCTGGGGCTTTGGAACATAGGGAATGGAGGTGAAAAGGTGGGGCGACCAGTGTTGGTGCTCCCTGCAGGGAGTGTGTGCCTGCACGGGCCACAGCAGGGCACTCCTACCCCCTGTCTTCTTGTAGGAACTTAGCCTGGGCAGAAACAGTCTCAGCCGACTACGGGGCTCTGACACCCCGTGGATGCGGGGCGGGCGGATCCCGTGATGTGGTGTCATGGTGGCCAGAGTGTGCTCTGGGGGTGAGCTTTGGCCACCTCCCCCATCTCTCTACCCCCCTGCCCACCCCAGATGAGATGAGTGAGGAAAGGCAGCATTTGGACAAGGGCAGATGGCCTCAGGCCCCTTTGTGAACAGACACCTCTGAGTCTATGGTTCCAGTTTTGTGGAAAAATTGCATTCATCTGGGTGGACACGGGGACAAAATCTGGAAAGAAGCGTTTCCAAAGGGAAAGCGGCCTCAGGGAGGGGCCAGTCCTTGGCCCTCCCTGACCTGGATGTTTCTGTGGTGACAAGAGTGACCAGTGAGCACGCTGCCCTTGGTGAGGCGGGGAATGTGAATTGGTCTGAGGACCCCAGATCTCTGGCAGCAGCCTGGCCAGAACCCCACACCTCCCCCATTTCCTCCAGGCTGTACTGCCCGCCCCAAGACTGCATTGCGGAGGGTGGTGACAGCGGGGTGAGCTGGGCTCTTGGGCAGTGCCGGGCCATGGCACTCTGAGGCTCTGGGGGGCCGTGAGGGGTTGGCTGGCCACGCTGGCCCCGGCCACAGGTCCTCTTTTTCTGCTGGGACATCTGGAGGGCTGTCACTGCCAGGCTGCTCCGAGGGCTGGGTTGCTGCCAGCCAGATGGGAAGGGAACTCCAGAAGGGGACCCTCAACAGGTCTGTGTGAGAATCCAGCTGGCCACCCCCACCCTCCCACCCTACTGCCGCTGCCCCTGAGGGCTGGGCTCTGGCCTGATGGTTCTGTCTCTGGCTCTTTCAGACGAGCCAAACTCAGGCTGTACCTGGAGCAGCTCAAGCAGCTGGTGCCCCTGGGCCCCGACAGCACCCGCCACACCACACTGAGCCTCCTGAAGCGCGCCAAGACACACATCAAGGTGAGCAGGGCCGCGTCGCCGCCCCTGCCCGGCCAGCTGCCGTGGCTGACCCCAGCCCGGCCCCGTGGACCCTAGGGGTGACCAGGGCCCCAGGGCGGGTGGGGAGCTGCCCAGCAGGGGCACATCAGGAGCCTGGGGGGGTCTTCAGGCAGTGGGTGGGGTGCAGCAGCAGGAGCTGCTGAGGGTTCAGGCTACGGGCACATGTTGGGTTTTGTTGGGTGGGGGTTTGGGTGGAAGGTGGCAGTTCTGGGCTGGGGAAGGTGGAGGTGGGTGACAGATCACCCCTCGTGGCCCTGGGCTGTGAAGGGGCAGCAGCTGGAAGGAGAGGTGGGGCCAGGAGAGTGGGGTTTCTTCTATGCTGGGAGGCCAGTGGGAAGTAGGCACCCAGCAGTCGGGGTAGGTTCTGGGGCAGAGGGCAGGGTTGGTCTCGGGGGGCTGGCAGTGGGCTGTGGGCTGAGTGAGATGTTGCCTGGGGCAGGCCCCCAAGGTATGAGACCTGCTGCTTTTAGGTCTGGTGAGACTTAGGCCAACCATGGCAGGTCTCGCGCCCCTTGCATGAGCATCCCCAGGCAGGGTGGCAGGCGCTTCAAGAGAGGCCCAGCCCATGCCCTAGGGCGCCCCCAGAGCAGCTGGTGTCTCAGTGCAGGGGAAGGTGTGGAGAGCCGAGGGGGGCCAGGTGGGCAGGTCCGAGCCAGTGGGCACAGTGTGTGCAGGGAAGAGCTGCCATGGGCACTGCTGTCCTCTGGGAGGAGCTGCCAGCCCAGAGCTGGGCAATGCTGTCCCAGGGCTTCAGGCCCACACGTGACCTGGCTTGGCCAAGCTGGCTGGTGGCAATGGGCCTTCTGGAGCTGGTCAGCAGACACAGCACTGGGCTGGGAGGTGGCACCTAGTATAACAGCCTGGTGGGGGTGTATCCAGCCTCTGGGGCCCACAGGGACTGGGCACCCTGTGGCCCTGGGCCCAGGCCGTGTTGGGGACAGAGAAGCTGCCTAGGCCTCAGTGCCCCAGTGTGGGGGTAGGGGAAGCCCCGAGGCTCACAGCTCGCCCCCTCTTCCCCAGAAACTGGAGGAGCAGGACCGCCGGGCACTGAGCATCAAGGAGCAGCTGCAGCGTGAGCATCGCTTCCTGAAGAGGCGCCTGGAGCAGCTGTCCGTGCAGAGCCTGGAGCGCGTGCGCACGGACAGCACCGGCTCCGCCGTCTCCACCGACGACTCGGAGCAAGGTGGGGAGGTGGGGGCAGCCCTTACGGGCACTGGGCACCTGCTTCCTCCCTGCGGCCCTTAGGTGGGAAGCTGGGAGTGTGGGGTTGACCGGGGAGGGGTGCGGACAACAGGAGTGGGCAGCAGATGCCCGTATGTCAGTGTGTCCCCAGTACCATCCGAGCGCCCTGTGTGCGGTGGCAGAAGTAATGGGACGAGTTGGGCAAGGCACAGAGGGCAGGTGACTTGCCCACAGGAGGGCCCAGCTGGGCTCCAGCCCTGCATGGTGCTTCAGGGGCTGTGTTCTTAACCAAGCCGCAGACCCAGAGCCCCATCTTTTCTGCACCCTCACCCCAGAGCCTCTGCTTCCTCCCCGAAAGGCAGAGACCCACCCTAACTTTGGAGAGAGCCCAGCTGGCACCCTCACAGTGCCTGACCCCATCCCCTCTGCTCTCCCTAGAAGTGGACGTCGAGGGCATGGAGTTTGGCCCCGGCGAGCTGGACAGTGTTGGCAGCAGCAGTGACGTGGATGACCACTACAGCCTGCAGAGTGGTGGCTGCAGCGACGGTGGCTATGGGCCCCCATGCCGGCGGCCTGGCTGCCCCGGCCTCTCGTAGGCCCAGTGCCCTCTGCTCCGTGGCCCACCTGCCCACCCAGCCAAGTGCATCAACCCTCCAGTCCTTTCAAGCCTCTCCGTGGGCCCACTGCTGTGCCATTCTGGAAGCTCCAGCCACCTCCTGGGCTGCCCACCTCCACCCGCCTGCTGGTCAAGGTGCACCGTGCCGTCCGCCCCTCCCAGCTGGGCAGGGACCCCTGCAGGGGGCGGGTCCAGCTCCCACATCCTGGAGCCCAGCGTAGCCGCCCACGGTCTGTTTTCAGATTCCTAATCATTCCAGAAGTATTAAATATCATTGCTGCAAACCTCGGCGGGCACCGTGTAAGAGGCTTAATGACCACTGCGGGGAGCTTGGACCCTAGCCTGGATCCTAGGAGAAAGGAATGGACCGAGGAAGGAAGGCAGGCGTGGCTCTCCATCCGTCCATCTGTCCATCTATCTGTCAGTCCACCTAGGCTCCTGAAGCATGGACAGAGGGATCCATGAAGGGCGGGACTCGGGTGAGCACCCTGGGGCAGGGGGGCGGGGAGGGGCTTTTGCACCCCGTGGGTGTCAGGAGCCAGGGCTGGGCTCCTGGGGCAGGCCAGGTCACCCGACACCCAGCTAGGCAGCTTCTGCTCTGTTAGGTCCCTCAGATGTACACATGCATGCGCCTAGGCACACCTGCCCACACACACATGCACACACGCAGACACACATGGTCACCAGACCCAGAGGTCCTTGGGAACCAGAGAGCACATGTCCTGGCGTGGTGGGCCTTCCCTGGTCACCTGGGCAAACCCTGGCGCCTGGCCTGTGCCTGGCTCCCCCTCCCACCCCTGGTCACCTGCCCAGTCTGCACAGGGAACTGGCTTCTCCTCCCAGCAGGGGCTGAGGTGTGGCAGGGGCTGGAGAATCGAAACAGCTGGGTCCTCAGGGGGCTTTCTCATTTCCCTTTAAAAAAAAAAAAAAAAAAGGCTGTACTGCCTAGCAGCCCAGAGCAGGGCTCCTGTGAGGGAGGCTTTCCCAAAAGCAAAAGAAATGTTTTTAAAGAGAAAACAGCTCTACAGCCTCCTGCTGAGTGCTGTCAGCTTGTGCTGCCACTTCTATTTCCTGGACGAGATTTTTGTACTCTATTTTCCTAGCATGTTGCGTCCTTGTTTGCTGAGGGGTGGGAGTGACCCAGCATCTCAGGGACTCGCCTGTCACCATCATCCAAGTGTGCCTTGTGTCCCATGTCTGGCCCCACCCCAGCCACACCACCAGCATCTCCCTCGTGGCTCACGGGATGCCCTCCACCTGCCCATGGGACAGTCCCTCCCAGCAGCCATGACTTCCTGGGAGTGAGAGATTACAGGGCCAGGTCAGGGGCTACACTGGGCAGTGGGGCTGCTTTCTGTCACCTGGCAGGAGGAGTCACGACCCGGCCCACAGACAAGGTCCTGTCCTCAGCAGCTTGTGGGAACCTGCTATGCAGTCTGGCCTCCTGGTGGGAGCGGGCTGCTCACCAGAGAAATCGGTTCTCACGTGTACCCAGCTTGAACTCTCCCTGCTCCTCTAGATTTCAGACCTTGGCAGCTGATGAAGACAGCACACCCTGGGTGGTCAGGCCTGGGCATTAGGACGCTTTTGGCCTTTCGTTCCAAAGTCCTTGTTCCCAGGGTCCACACGCAGCAAGCAATACGCGGGTGGTGGGCTGTGGGGCTGACCCACCGCAGTGCCTGCCTCCCTCCCTAGTGCATTGTAACCAATTTCCAGATCATGTTTGTCTTCAGCCATACCGATAGACACCCCAGGGTAGGTGGCCTAACCCCTGGAAATAGCTCTGGCACAGAACCTGCCCTGTGGGGGCTCAGGATGGCAGGTGAAGAGTAGGCCTATGGGGAGGGTGCTCGGAGGAGCTGGTGAGATTGTCCACCCCTCTTGCTAGTGGTTGTAAGGGAAACTGTTCTGTTGGCACCTCCTTCTAGCTGCACTGGGGTTCCGGGGGGCCCTGTCTGCCTGAGCGTGTCGGCTGAGCGTTCCTTGCGAGTACCCCTCTGCCCTCTGAGCAGGGCGGGAATGCCCGCAGTTAAGAGCCTGCTTCAGGATCCACAAGTCCAGGCATCTCAAAGCACCAGCTCCCCACCCTACCCCCCAACACCTGGGGGACTTTCTGCTCCACCTCCGGCCAGCAGAATCGTACCCTGTGACCCAACTTGGTCATCAACTGACCGTACTGGCAGCTCCACTGTGGCTTTTCAGGCCATGGTTCCTGCATGGGCCGGGAGGTGGCCTCACCGGCCATCCAGGGGTGCTGTGGTCCCAGACGCCCTCCCCACACCAGCAGATATGTGAGGGGTGGTCCTCAGGGCCAGGCTGTGGTGCTAGAAGTTACACATCCATTCCCCTCTCTCCAGCTCCTGTCATTTGCACAGGTTGGCTGTTGCTGGTGGCCATGGGGACCCAGCGGACGTATTGTTAAGAGCACACCTCAGCTGTCAGGCCTGTAGAAAGCAAGAGACCAGAACAGCGCCCTCTCCCCACGTGCCCTCCCGTGCCGGTGTGGGTCACTGTAGCACTCGGTGGCTGAGATCCTGGAACCCCAGGCTCAGGTTTGGGTCTCCACCCTCGTTGGGAGGTGACCCCCACACTCCAGGCCACCACCACCCTGGTGTCGGCCCAGCTGGCTGGGGAGGCTGCAGGGAGGCTCCTCCTTAGAGCCCTGGGCCTGCCTCTGCAGATCGGGTCTTGGAGGCACGATGCCCAAGCCTGCTTCCTGGGCAGATGGAGCCCTACACCCACTATGTCCCTGAGGGCCCCGCCCTCCTTTCTGCCCCAGACGACTCCATCTGCTGGGTGAAGCAGGCTGCCCCACTCCTCGCCCCCTGCTTCTTTCTGGGCCAGCTACCCTGGTCCCCTCCCCACTGCTGGGCACACAGGACTCAGACCCTGGGCCTCATCTAGGGCACTAAGGCAGGTTCCGTGCCAGAGTCCGGGGCCGCCCAGGGGGCCTGGTGCTGGCCATGTGGGCGCATTACAAGATCCTCCCTGGAGAGAGACGGGCCACCCACCTGCCTGCTCACCGGGAGGGACTGTGCTGTACCTTCTGTCTTTGTAATATAAATACAGATTTTTATACCTCACTCCTCTGGCTTCCAGTTCTTTCCATCACTGTGTTCGAATCCTCCCCCTCAGCCTCTGTAGGGAGCCTGAGCCCACTGGCCACCTCTCGGGCCTCACTGCCCTGCCCATGCCTTTGCTCTCTGGGACACCTGATGGACCATGGTCCTCCCACACCTGCTGGTTGGTCATCGCTGCCTCCTGGGCAGTCACACCCAGAGCTAAATGAAGGTGGAACCCACTGCCCCCACCCCTCCACACACACACGTTTGCCAACCAGGAACTCTTCTGCTGACAGACTGCCTCTGGCCCTGCGGCTGGGGACTGACACATGAAGACGGCTTGGCCCTTAGGGCACTCCATGCTGGCCAGTGCCCTTGGCGGGGAGGGGGGGGGTGCCCTTGTCCTGCCTCCGTGTGCCGTTCTGCATAGCGGCTGCTAGTTCTCTGGATGCACCTGAGAAACCCTCCCTGGAACTGTCCTCAGTGTCCCCAGAATGTCCCGGGCATGGCCTTTGCCTGCAGTCATCAGGACCTGCGGTGGGGGAGGGGTGTGGAACAGCTAGCGCAGTCCCAGCAGTTAACAGCAGGAAGGAAATGCCCACCTGGAGTGATGGGCTGTCCAGGGGCCCGGGGCTGCCACTCTGGACACACTGGGGCTGGCTTGCGGAGCCCTGCAGGAGGTTTGGGGGTGTCTGTGGGAGAGGATCTGAGTTTCTACTCCCTCTGGCAGCAGCAGGCAGCAGTACTCTGGCCTCTGAAGCCTTTGTGAGTCCCCCTGGGGACACCCCTAGAACACAGGGGACTTCCTACTGGGAACGTAAAGGGGGAGCATTTGAATTCCAAATGTTACTCACTTAAAATCACCTCTACTTACTGAGGCATGAGGGCTCCAGGAGCTTTGTGTGCTAAACCCTTGATGTAACTAGTGGCCCATGTCACAGGCAGGAAGCTGAAGCTCAGGGAAGGTACCCACTGTCCCCAGGTGACCCACCAAAGGGTGGTGGGCCTGGGACCCGCCCCTGGGCCTCTGGGAAGCCCCTCTCACTAAATTCCATCCCCACGTTCCAGGCCTGGGTTTTAGCAAGCGCCCCCCAAAACGGGACACCTGCCTCCATCTTCTTGGCAGCAAGAATAACCTTGGGTAGTCTTGTTGTCCACATCACCTCTGGGATTAAACCCAGGTGCCTTGGTCCGTCCATCACTCCTATACCTTTGACTTAACCCACTCTCACCCTTGCTGCCTCAGCACCCACCAACCCATCCTCAGCTCTCAGCTCAGCTTGGGTCCTCCTCTGGGAGGTGACCCTGAGCCTCCTGTGCCCCTTCCCATCACATTTTGTGGGGATTATGGCCACCCAAATTGGGGGCTGGTCTCATCTGGGCTAATCAGCAGCAGGACCCTTTTCATGTTGTTTCCTTTCCTCCATTCCTAGTCCTGAGCCAGGCCAGGCCCCCAGTATACTCTGGCCTTACAGGGATCTTTCCAGAATGCAAACGGGATTATGCCATTTGCCCATTTAGCTCCAAGTGGCTCTCAACCCCTGGTGCCTCCCTGCCTTCTCTCTCCTCAGCCTGTCCGCAGGCTCTTTATGAGACCGCATCCCCCCTCCCAAGCCCCTCTGCTGCCACCTTCCTCCCCCCCACCACCGTACCCCACCCCCATCTCCCTGTGTGCACAGGGCCATGTTGGTGAACTCCTGAGTTTGAGGACTGAGTTTTCACCTTTGGCACCGGGGTGTCAACATGATGGAAGACAGACTCACTCTTCGCCCACTGTCCTCCAGCCCCACAGTATAAGCCTTGTCTTCTGCTTTCTTCAGAATAGGAAGGATGAAAGGAAGGAGTGTCACTTGCTTACTCAGCTGGAAACCCGAAGTCATCCAGGCTTGCTCCCTCTGGCCAGCAGGTCCCCAGGTTCTGCCCTCAGGGAGGCTTTCTGCCCCGGGTACCCTGAGCCAGTTTGTTGTTCTTCTCCCCAGTGCACTGGAGCCTCCCTTCACCTGCCTCTTGCCACCGTTTGTCACTTCTGTCACTGCAGAATCAAGCTGCTAACATAAGTCTCTTGTCACTCACTCCTCTGCTTGGACACGGCCCCCAGTCCCCATTGCTTGAAGAATGGAGTCCTGCCACCATCGCTGAAAAGTACATCTAAAAACAAATGATCTTTAACATCAGACTACAGTTTAAACACAAGTAAAAAGACATCATCCAAAACTTAAAGTACCTTTTGATATCAGCGAGAGAAAAGGATAACTACAGGAAGGAGAAAAGGAGAAAAAGCAAACAAAACCATGTGATGCTTCCAGCTCTGTGTTTAGGTCTGTTTCCTCCACTCCATTCTCCTGGGCTTCCTGGGGGAGGTTCATCCTCCAGTTCCTTTTCTCTTTTGACTCTGCAAGTACCCCATTAAAACTCCGTATGACTTTGATTGGAATAAAGAGCTTGTCCTGGAAGTAAGTGTAATATGTTTGCATGCAATCTCAAGTGCAGAGATGCCCTGGTAAGTCAACTTTTCAAAGAAAAGTTTCCAAGTCTGTGTAGTTGAATCTATTGTGTTTGTCATTTGTGCTCTGGGAGATGATACCATTTTGATTTTTACTTTATATTTTTATGGGGTTTTTGGGGGCCCCACAAACACCTTTCAAAGTCAGTCATTCAAAACCATGTGGAGAATTTGTGGGCCCAGGAAATGGCCCAGGAGTTCCTAGGAAAAGTGAGCTTCCAGAACAACCTTGGGGGCTTGGGGTCTCATTCTCCTGTCATCGGGGGTCTTTCTATAAAGTAGCCCCTTTTCCTTTTCGCATCTTCTGTGTCCTCTGAGTTCCTCCTCTGTCTATACATATCCCCAAGTTCCTCCCATCTTAAAACTCAAACCCTCCCCTCAACTCTGCACTCTCACCCCCATCTCATGTCATTCTGCTCTCTCTCTCTCTCTCTCTCTCTCCCCCCCCCTCAATCTTTGCCTCCTCAGCAATATTTCTTGAAGGCACTGTCTGCACAGCCTCACTTCCTCCCTACAAGCTCAGCTCCTGTCTCCTGTTGCACAGCAGCCCCCCCACACCCCCCCAGCCCCTGTCCCTACCCCATGATTGGCTGAGGGGCTTCTCCTGGTCCAGGGGCTCTGACCTAGCCTCCCAGCTCACCAGCAGGATGCATCTCCTCCCCCATTTAAGGCTGGGCACCATCGGTAAACTTTTTCCCCTGTAATGTTTGTTTTTCAGGTCATTTTAAGTTTTACTGTCTTTTAGAAGAGGCAGGTTAAAAAGTAAAACAAATTGATAGGAAGTATTTCAACTGAAGATTAATTCATATATCTGCCTTAGAACATCTTTTTTTTCCTCTCCTAAATATATATATTAAGATTTTATTGGGGAATTGAGAAATGGCAACAGTATTGGGGAATTGGGGAAGGGGAACAGCCAAGTTGTCCTTCAATCTTAGTTGTGGAGGGCGCAACTAGTTCAGCTCCAAGTCCAGTCGCCTTCTGGCCGCCTGTGGGCTGCTCACGGCTGCTCAGCTCAAGGTGCCGAGTTCAATCTTAGTTGTGGGTGGGCGTAGCCCACCATCCCATTCGGGAGTCAAACCGGCAACCTTGTTATTAGGAGCATGTGCTCTCACCAGCTGAGCTATCCTGCCACCTGTTGGCAGCTCAGCGGCAGCTCAGCTTGGATCCAACTCACTGGCCCATGTGGGAATCGAACTGGTGACCCTGTTGCTCAGAGCTCATGCTCTTAACTAACTGAGCCACTCGGCCGGCCCTCTCCTAAAATATTTTTTTAAATTATCCATAAAGACTTCTGCCCTTCCAATGTCAACAGAGACTAGGGCATTGTCTAACAAGCTATCTTAGTCATTTGATGGTGGGGGTGGGGGAAGCACTGACTATGTAGTAAGGACCAGGATCCAAAACTTGCACATTTAGGTGTTGATGTGTAGAAGATTGGTAAGTAAAAATCATTTTTGTCTGGTAGAGATGCAAATGAATTTTGTCCAATACAAATGAAAACCAAAAGGTCTTGTTCCAAACCGTTAGGGCATCAACCAGGTGGGTATGGAACTTTGCAATCTTGTTTCAACAATCTTTCCTTCACTGACTACACGTGGCCTGCTTCCAGCATCTTCTTCGGAAATAATGTTTCATCTTGAGTTTAAAACGTCTTTAAAAGTTACATTTTGGGCCTTTTCAGCTCCTTCTTTTGCTCCGCCTGCTCCAAACTCTTTGGAGAGTACTTTCTCTTCTAGTACTGTGTCCTGGAGCCACTGCTTTCTGCTTGGGCCGCTTCTATTTCTTTGAAGTATACTTTTTCTTCTAATAAACTGTTCTTTCACCACTTAAAAAAAAAGTTACATTTTGAAAATGGGGTTGTGGAGGAAGTCAGCTTTTGCTTAGTGGTTAGGTGAAGTCTGCCCCTCAAGCTGCTTTTGCCCAATAACGTTCATCGTAAAAATTACAAAGCGAGTAATAACAGCAAAGCCTTAAGACCACCAGGCATGGCTCCGATTGCATTATATCCATGACTCGCTCCCACTTCTCCGAGGGGAGCGCGAGTATTAACACCGCTCTGACTGGACACGGGCCGCTGGGTCGGAGCTTCCCGTGTCACGCAGCAGGCGAGTGACAAGGCTGGGGCTGGCTCGGTCCACGCTCCTGACAGCTAGGTTTTCCCCTAAAAACCTCTCTTTAAGGGACCAGGGCTTGGGGTACCGTAGGGCAGGAAGCTGAACAGACCGGGAGAGGTCGTCCTGCAGGCAGAGCAGACATCAGTGGGACGCGGGGCTTCCGAAGCCCTGCCAGCAGCCCGAGGCCGACCCTCCCGGTGAAGCAACCCACGCACTGTCCAGTCCCGCCCCACACGCTCCTAGGCCCCGCCCCCGCGACAGGGAGCCATTCAGCTCGTTCCTGCAAGTAGGCGTCCGCCTTCTTCTGCCCTGCGACTTCCGATACCGCGCCTGCGCAAACGGTCATTCCTCCCCGACCCCCGCTACCCCCGCCAGATCCTTCTGCGCGCGCGCGGTGACAGTGCTCCCGTGAGGCAGTGCGAGGCGCGGAGCTAGGGTTGCTGAGCGGGCGCGAGCCGAGACTCCTGAGGTGAATGGCCCGGGCTCCGAAATTCTGGGCGGTGTGGGGCTGTGGGAGCGGCGCCGACCACCCGGCTGCCTCTTCTTGTTTATGGGTGCCCTTGGAGACTCCTTTCGGGCGCGCGAGTCTCTTCCTGCGCGGCACAGTCGGGGTCCGCGGGGAGGGAAGCCGGGGCCGGCGGGGGCCTGTGGCGTGGGAGAGCGAGGGGCCCTCGGGTGAGGGGCGGGGTTCCGGGGGGCGGGGGCCAGGCCGCGCAGGCCCCGAGGCGTGGTGGGGACGCGTCCGAGCTCCGCGAAGCCAGTCCGTCGCCTGACGGGGCGTGTGCAGTTTGTCCTGAACGCCGACTTGGTGTTTTTTGTGGACGTGTCTTACATGTCGTGACTGGATGACACAAAAAACAAGCAGAGAGTTTGCAGCGAATCTGTTAGGTTTATCGTTAATCTATCTGTACGATTTATCACCGTCACCGAATTCGATTAGTTAAATCGTCCTGCATTATTACTCAGTGGTGCCTTTGTTGAAAAGTAACGTGTCTGAAATGTTTTTATTTGCTGATTGCTCAGTTCTTCAACCTTAAACCTGATTTTCTCTGCACTAGGTTGATCCTGTCTGGACAGTGATCCTTGTGCGAATGGCGGATGGTAATTGACTCATTGAGGTAAATACTTAGTTGACTTTTCTCAAAAAACTTACTACATTTATTTCTATATTTTTTAGGAAGGGCAGGGAAGAGAGGCTGCTTAACCACATGATGGCTTGGATTTGTTTATTTTGAATTAAAAACTGAGCAAATGGTCTATAAAACATGTATTTTAAACCACTTTCATCTTTGGAAAAAATTGGACTTTCTCGTTAATAGGTTTTCATTGTTGCAGTGTTCTAAGTACCGTATTTTGCCGTGTATAACGCGCACTTTCTTTTTTTTAAAAGATTTTTTATTGGGGAATTGGGGGAATGGGAACAGCGCTGGGGAATTGGGGAAGGGGAACAGACAAGTTGCTGTCGTTTTGTTCTTCAGTCTAGTTGTGGAGGACGTTGCTTCACTGGCCCAAGTTGACACCATCATTGTGCTCTTCCTGGGCGAGGCAGATCAGTTGCCCGCCGGCTTCTGGACGGTCGCTCACTGTGGCCGCTGGTCGCTCACGCTGGCTGCTGGCCACACACGGTAGCCCATGGCAACCCACTGCCACAGGGGCTGCAGCCTACACCGTAGCCGGCGACTCACGGCAGCCCAGCTCCAGGTTGAGCTGTTGTTCAGCATCTTAGCTGTGGAGGGCAGTGTCACTGGCCCTCATATGTGGGATCCGAACCGGGGCCCTCTGGCGTCCCGAGCCAGTTCTTAACCATTGTGCCACTCGGCCGGCCCGCGCACTTTTTTTTTTTTGGACCAAATTTGTGAAGGAAAAATAAGGATGCGCATTATACATGAGTAGTACTAAAAATTTAAAATGAAAGATTTTTTTTTTTCCCCCTCTGAAAGTTTGGGCCAAAAACGTGGGTGCTCATTATACACAGGAAAATACGGTAATACCCTGATTGTTTATTTTGTTTCACCTTCATAAAACATTTCAGCTGCAACTACCTCTAGGTTAGATGGTACCCAGTATCATTTGATACTTATTCTGTATTTTCCTTTTAAAAATAAAATCACCTTATTTGTGGTCTAATACTTGCCTTTTCTCCCCCTAGGAGAAATCATAGACGCTAAAAATATTTTTCCCCTTTTCTATGGACTTAACATAAAATTAGTTTGTTTATATTTGAATTTATTTTCTAAATATCAACATCATAAACTCATATCAGTTACAAAAAAATTCGGAAGTTAAACCATGAGTTGTGGAAAAGATTTTGTGGAAACATTAAAAAAAATTGATTATCCCAAAGCTGATATTCTTAATGGGGAAGATTTTGACTGGTTGTTTGAGACTGTTGAAGATGAGTCATTTTTGAAGTGGTTTTGTGGGAATGTGAATGAACAGAACATATTGTCTGAAGAAGAATTGGAAGCTTTTAGCATTCTTCAAAAATCAGGCAAGCCGATCCTAGAAGGAGCAGCATTGGATGAAGTTCTTAAAACCTGTAAAACTTCTAATTTGAAGACACCTACCCTCGATGACAAAGAGCTAAAAAAATTAGAGAATGAGGTTCAAACTCTGCAGAAATTAAAGAACCTAAAAATTCAGCGACGTAATAAATGCCAGTTGATGGCTTCAGTAACTAACCACAAATCTCTGAGGTTAAATGCTAAAGAAGAAGCAGCCACTAAAAAGCTGAAGCAGAGTCAAGGAATTCTAAATGCTATGAATACTAAGATCAAGAATGAACTTCAGGCTCTTACAGATGGAGTTGCAAAATTGATGATGTTCTTCAGACGTTCTAATTTGAGTCAAGGGACAAATCCACGGGTGTTTTTGTCTCAGTTTTCCTTGGAAAAATACCTAAACCAAGAAGAGCAAAGCACAGCAGCATTAACATTATATACTAAAAAACAGTTCTTTCAAGGTATACATGAAGTAGTTGAAAGTTCAAATGAAGAAAATTTTCAACTTTTAAATATACAAGCACCATCTATTTGTGATAATCAAGAAATCCTTGAGGAGAGACGGCTAGAGATGGCTAGGCTGCAGCTAGCATACATTTGTGCTCAACATCAGTTAATTCACTTGAAAGCAAGTATTTCGAGCATGAAGTCAAGTATAAAATGGGCAGAGGAGAATCTTCCTAGCCTCACTAGCAAGGTAAGCATGAGAAATGAGGCTGGATTCATATTGTAATTGTTAGTAATGGGGGATATAATACTGATATTAAAGTACTTTAGAAAAGGGGATATAATGTCATTACATTTTCTTATTTTGTTTGTTCAGAGCTTAGTCTGATAAGTCAGTGTTTCATACAAACAGGCCCTCTTATTAGTGGAGGGCAGAATTAGGAATTATAACCCCAACTCCATTATGTAATGTAAAACAAAAGTACTTGTGCATTCTGAATTTGACATTTGTATTGGTTCAGATACAGACGACGCTGACATTTCCTTTATGATTGGTGGGTAAATAATCTTATTGTGTGATGGGTATTCTGCTTTCTTTGCTCTGACTGCAGCATGGTGCTAATGAAGTCAGAGGTCCAGTTCAGGAGACTGAAACTCTGATCCTCTGTTGAGAATGTATAGGTGTATTGCAGATACCCATCTGCTGTGTTGGAAAACTTGCTTTCTTGGTAATGTAACCACTGGATAGTTGAGTAAAAATACAACTTTCTGAAACTGAATACCAGCACCAAGTTAGTGTAACTGAAAACTTTGGAATAATATATGAAGTCCTGTCATTTTGTAGAGGAGCTAAAATCAGCTGACAGACTAGGAGATAGCTGCTGCGATTATTTTAATTTTAAGAAAAACTTAAATAGCGTATATTTGCAATGAGTAATGCTAGTCATTTTTATTTATTAAGACAAGCATGACAAGATCTCTATTTTGGTAGCCATTACTGCGTATACATGTGGTAGTAATAGCATTAAAATTTAGCAATTCACACTGGCTTTACCCTTGACTTAGTCCCCACACTTTTCCTTTTTCAACTGTGACTTCGTCTTTTGTTAATACGAGGTTATTTTTTTTAGTGAGCATGTTATCTGATAGCCTAAAATGGAAAGTGCAAATAATTTTTAAACTATTTGAACATTATAATGCAGTTTGAAATGTAATTGCTTTTTTTCTATAGGCTCTTGGCAAAGATAATTTGGATGCTAAAATTTCTGGCTTGAACAGTGAGATTCTGAAACTTGAAGAACAAATTGCTCGTGTAAAAGGCAACAGTTTGCCTGTTGTGGTAAAAGAGAATGCCCAGTTATTGAATATGCCAGTTGTAAAGGGAGATTTTGATTTGCAGATTGCTAAACAAGACTATTATACAGCAAGACAAGAGTTAGTTTTAAATCAGTTGATAAAGCAAAAGGCATCATTTGAACTTCTGCAGTTATCATATGAAATTGAATCGAGAAAGCATTGGGACATACACCGTCAACTTGAAAGTTTGGTTCAAGAACTTAGTCAAAGTAATATGAAGCTCCACCAGCAATTAGAAATGCTAGCAGACCCATCAGTATCTCATCAGATAAATCCAAGGAATACCATTGATAGCAAGGATTATTCTGCTCACAGGTATGCTTCATTGTTTTAATATTTTTCTTCTTGTTCTGTAAAATACTAGAGAGAGCTTGAACTGAAATTGTGGAAGTTTAAATTTTTTTTTTTTTTTAAGATTTTATTGGGGAATTGGGAAAGGGGAATGGACAAGTTGCTGTCCTTTTGTTCTTCAGTCTAGTTGTGGAGGACGTCGCTTCATTGGCCCATGTTGTTATTATCATTACACTCTTCCTGGGTGAGGCAGATAAGTTGCCGGCCATTGGACGGCCACTCACGGTGGCTCTTGGCAGCTCACACCAGCTGCCAGCGGCTCACGCTGGCTGCCGGACACACACTGTAGCTTATGGCAGCCCACTGCAGCCTACACCGTTGCCAGCCGCCGGTGACTCACGGCAGCCCAGCTCCAGGTCGAGCTGTTGTTCACCATCTTAGCTGTAGAGGGCGGAGCATCACTTGCCCTAATGTGGGATCCAAACCAGGGTCCTGCTGCTCAGAGCTGGCATCCCAAGCCATCTGTTAACCAACGTGCCCCTCGGCCGACCCTTAAAAAATTCTTTGTACTCCATTTTTGGCCTTTCTGTTCTCCCACTTTTCTATGCTTCTTTTTCCTTTTTAATTTTTTGCTCCCTTTTCCATTCATGTTAAATCTGGAAGTAGTTACTGTAGAGCTAAGGTGGATGGGTTGGAGGAATGAATATATATGAGGTCTTACCTTTAGGCGCCTTTATTTAGATGCCTTGTTTTAGATTTGGGGCAGGAGTTGAACTACAGCAGGAAGTTTGAGTACAGCTTAGTGTACAGTAGGTATTACTGGGCAGAGAATTGACTGCATTTGGAGAACGTGGCAGTAGAGAGGGGAGAAGACTTCAATTCTGTATCTCATCAGGTTAATTGATGAGAATGGATACTGCTCCCCACCTTTTCTGGATGTCTAAGCAATTGATGAATTCTGAAATGGGATGGTTAAGAGTAGTCAAAGCCTCAAAAATCCGGATCCTACTGATTTTTCTATTGATTAGAGGAAAATCATCTAATCTTTTTATTTTCTTATTAATGAAATGAGGGGCATAGATGAGGGCTGCCTCATTGCCCAGTTTTAGACAGTGGCATTGACTTCATGATCTATGTGAATAGTGCCCTCTAGAATTGTGTAGTCACATCTCACAAGAACAAAATTGCCAGCCTTGGGCTTAAACTAGTTTTATGAAGTCTGTTGCAACTTGTTAAAATAATGAAAACACATACACACACACATATACACACACTCACAAACTCATTCTAAGCAAAAGAGCAGATCCTTTTTGGTCAGATGTGTGTAGAAGGTGCTGCCTCTCATTTTTCCATTTGCTGGGTAGGATTTTTCTGCCATTAATGTTTGAAGTATTAAAGTGGCCTCATGGCTCATCAAGAATTTAATTTGTCAACCAAATATGGGCAAGACTGGAGTAACAAATTTACTGTTACTATTTATGTAGTTCTATTTTTTTTTACATTTTTTATATTTTCAACTTTATTTTTTAAGTTCACCACAATCCTTTAAAATAGGTAGATATTAAGATGTGAAAATTAATTCTCAGAGGTTGACTTGATCCAGGTTTCACGTAATAGCCAGAACTCAGACCTAGGGTTTCTATCTCAAGTTCATTGCTGTTTCTACTACATCATAGCTGTATTCTGTAAAAGAAGAGTTTTCTTGGGAGGCATCTGAAATGTACTATGTTTGAAGCAGGTTAATGTCAGTTAAAAAAGAACTTTGTATCTAAAACTTGGGTGAATGGGAAAATGAGCGTTCAGATACAATAATTAGAGTATGTATTCCTCTAATGAGATAGTATTTTAGTTGTAATGTTTTCAGTTACTTGATTTAGCAGCAGACAGATTAATATTTTTTAAGTTGTTAGCTATCCCAAAGATGACCCAATATAGTGGATTGTAATTTTGAAAAAACTACTGACTTGAGAATTTTTTCTCTAATTTTTGGTTTTCACATTTTAGGCTTTATCAACTTTTAGAAGGAGAGAATAAGAAAAAAGAATTGTTTATAACCCATGGAAAACTGGAGGAAATGGCCAAGAAATTAAAACAGGATGTTTCTTTAGTACAAGATCAGTTGGCAGTATCTGCTCAAGAACATTCTTTCTTTGTGTCCAAACTGAATAATGATGTGGACTTGCTTTGTGACGCTTTGTATCAAGGAGGAAATCAGCTTTTGCTTAGTGATCAGGTGGGTGCTTGCCGTAGTCATTAAAAATGCTTTAAAAAATAATGTTCATTGTAAAAGATACTAAAGAAAATGTTAACTTGAGGAAAACACTACCCCAAATCCTATTGCCCTAATACAAAGTTTGTTTTTTTAATCTTGTAGTTTTTGTTCACATATAAATGTATTTTTCAGATAGTTTCGACAGTGTGCACAGAATTTTTTACTTACAAAATATTTCATATATATGAGGATATGTAATGCTTATGAATTTTTAAAAATAAAACCAAACCACCCTGTATTTTTTTCACCTATCTTAGCAAGTAGAGGATCGCTCTTATATCTTTAAAATATTCTGTGTGTGCTTAGTGATAGTATGTCCTCCTAATAGCATTCCCCTTCCTTAAGGAGTAACTACTATGTTTAATTTTATCATTTGCTCTTACTTGTAGTTCTATTAGATAGATATATTTCTGGACTGTATATTGTTTAGTTTTGTATGTTTTTGAATTTTATATAGGTGGTATTAAATTGTATGTATTCTTTAGTAACTTGCTTGTTTCTTAATATGATTTTGAGTTTCATTCAGTTGATACATGTAGAGCTGTAGCTCATTCATGGTTTTCTCTTTTATGTAGTTAGTATTCCATTATATGAAATCCCATAGTTTAATTATGTGTTCTGTTGACAGACATTTAGGTTATTTCCAGTTTTTGCTACTGTAGATCATACTGCAATGGATAGTCTTGTTGCATGTCTCACAGTTGCACACTCATGTGCCTGTACACACACATACAGATTCTCTCTCACTCATGAGTGGAACGCTGGATCACAGGTTCAGTTCTACAGCGTACATCCAATTATTTTCCAAAGCGGTTGTACCATATCATACCAGCAGTGTCCTTAGATGTTATTTCTCCATGCCCTTTTCATCACAGCATTTTCTGGTCTATACATTTCTCAATTGTGCATACAAAATAGCATCCCATTGGTTCCTTTCAGTTGGTTACTGGCCATTCACCTTTTTCTGAAAATTACCTCTGTTTCCTTTGCCTGTTTTAGAGTCATTCTTAAAAACAAAACAAAACAAAAATCATTTGTAGGAGTTATTTATATATTTTAAATGCCAATCCTTTATCAGTTATGTGTGTTAAATATATTTACTCACTTTTTGTGGCTTGTCTTTTTATAGTTTTTTGTTTTTGGCTTTTTTTTAGGGTTTTAATTTTGATGTCGTTTATCATTCTTTATGGTTTGTCCTTTTTAATGTCTTGTTTTGTATGTCTTGTTAAGATTTGCCCTTAATATCATGATGATATCTTTTACTTTATCTTAAGGTTATATTGTTCAATTTTATTTATTTATTTATTTATTTATTTATTTATTTATTAGCTGAGCCATTCTGCCGCCTCTTGGCAGCTCAGTAGCAGCTCAGCTCGTGCCAGGCATCGAACCTCTATTGCTCAGAGCTCGCACTCTTGAGTGAGCTCTTAACCAACTGAGCCACTTGGCCGGCCCATGTTGTTCAATTTTAGGTCTTTAATCCACTAGTACTTTATTTTTATGTATGACATAGAGTTCTAATTTTATTTATTTATTTTTCCCTTATGAATAACTATATTGTCCCATCACTGTTTGTTGAGGCATACAGATTTAAACTTACTGTCTTTCTGGTGAAGGGAACCTCTTATCACTATGAAATAAATGATCCCGAAATGCTTTTGCTTTCATGTCTGTTTTGTTAGGTAGTACGGGCACTGCCACTTCTGAACCCTAAACTGGGTTCCAAGTCTAAGAGTCTTTAGAGGACTGAGGTGATTCCTACCTGGACCATAATTCTAGCCAAGGGCTCTTCCACTTCTGGGCCATCCTGATCTTTTGAGTCCTTACTTAGCTAATGGTGAACAGGGTCTCCTGTTGGACCTTGGACTTTTATTTTTCTCCCATTCATCTTGTGAGTCAAGAATCATACTGGGTTCTAATTTTCTAGGATTGGCAGTTGCCCTAGAGTAGAGCTGTTGCTGGGCTCCCTTACCAATCTGGGTTTTATGGACTCCCTTTTAATGTCTTATATCTCCTCGTTTTTAGGAAACTTGTTTGATTTTTTTTTTTTTTTTAGTATTTCATTTAGCCCTTTACATTTTTTTCCTATGGGAGGATTTATCTGAATAACTAGCCTACTTTTCCTTGAAATAGGAAACGTTGTGATGAGTGTTTTTAAATAATTTTTATTCTGGTAAGCAAAAAAAAATTTATTGTGGTAAAACATACAAAGTGTAAAAATTTTCAGTTTTAACCATTTTTAAGTGTACAATTCAGTGGCATTAAGTAAATTCAGTGTCATGCAACTGTGACCACTAGATTTCCAGAACTTTTCATCTCCTTCAGTCCCCACTCCTTCTCCACAGCCCCTGGTAACCTCTATTCCACTTTCTGTCCCTGAATTTGATTACTCTTGTACTTCATAGGAGTGGAATCATACAGTATTTGTTCTTTTGTGTTTGGGCTTATCTCACTTAACATAATGTCCTTAAGTTTCATCCACATTGTAGCATGTGTCTGAATTTATTCCTTTTTGTGGCTAATATTGTATTGTATGTATATGCCACAATTTGTTCATCTGGTCATCTGTTGAAGGATACTTGGGTTGTTTCCTCCTTTGGGCTGTTGTGAATAATATTGTTATGAACACTGGTGTACAAGCATCTGAATCCCTGTTTTCATTTCTTTTGGGTATATACCTAGGAGTAGACTTGCTGGAGCATATGTTAATTCTATGTTTAACTTTTTGAGGAACTGCCTAACTTTTCCACAACAATGCCACCATTTTACATTCCCACCAGCAATGTACAAGGGTTCCAGGTTCCTCATATCCTTGCATACACTTTTATTTTCCTTAAAAAAAAAAAAATGTAATAGCCATTCTAATGAGTATGAGGTGATATCTGTGATTAGTTTTTTAAAAAAGCTTCTATTACTGATTTTGTCTTGGTCCAATAAATAGTTGTATAAAAGTCTTATATGATTGTGGATTTGAAATTTTCTCTCTGTAGTTCTATCAGGTTTTTTTTAGGTTTGTTTGTAAATATTTATTGAGTGCCTACTATGTGCCAGGAGCTTTTTCTTTATATTTGAGTTTATTTTATAAGTTATATCCAAGTTTAAAATTGCAGTGAGTTATTATCCTGGTGAATTTATTTATTTTTAAAGATTTTATTGGGGAATTGGAGGGGAACAGCGCTGGGGAATCGGGGGAAGGGGAACAGACAAGTTGCTGTCGTTTTGTTCTTCAGTCTAGTTGTGGAGGATGTTGCTTCACTG